TTTGTCCTGAATTTCCAGGTGTATTTGACGTGAATTTCCAGATGTATTTGACCTGAATTTCCAGGTGTACTTGACGTGAATTTCAAGGTGTACTTGACGTGAATTTCCAGGTGTATTTGACGTGAATTTCCAGGTGTACTTGACGTGAATTTCCAGGTGTACTTGACGTGAATTTCCAGGTGTACTTGACGTGAATTTCCAGGTGTACTTGACGTGAATTTCCAAGTGTACTTGACGAGAATTTCCAGGTGTGCTTGACGTGAATTTCCAAGTGTATTTGACCTGAATTTCCAGGTGTATTTGACGTGAATTTCCAGATGTATTTGACGTGAATTTCCAGGTGTATTTGACGAGAATTTCCAGGTGTACTTGACGTGAATTTCCAGGTGTACTTGACGTGAATTTCCAGGTGTACTTGACGTGAATTTCTTGGTGTACTTGACGTGAATTTCCAGGTGTACTTGACGTGAATTTCCAGGTGTACTTGACGTGAATTTCTAGGTGTACTTGACATGAATTTCCAGGTGTATTTGACGTGAATTTCCAGGTGTATTTTACGTGAATTTCCAGGTGTACTTGACGTGAATTTCCAGGTGTACTTTACGTGAATTTCCAGGTGTACTTGACGTGAATTTCCAGGTGTACTTGACGTAAATTTCCAGGTGTACTTGACGTGAATTTCCAGGTGTACTTGACGTGAATTTCCAGGTGCACTTGACTTGAATTTCCAGGTGTACTTGACGTGAATTTCCAGGTATACTTGACGTGAATTTCCAGGTGTACTTGACGTGAATTTCTAGGTGTACTTCACATGAATTTCCAGGTGTACTTGACGTGAATTTCCAGGTGAGCTTGACGTGAATTTCCAAGTGTATTTGTCCTGAATTTCCAGGTGTATTTGACGTGAATTTCCAGATGTATTTGACCTGAATTTCCAGGTGTATTTGACATGAATTTCCAGGTGTACTTGACGTGAATTTCCAGGTGTATTTGACGTGAATTTCCAGGTGTACTTGACGTGAATTTCCAGGTGTACTTGACGTGAATTTCCAGGTGTACTTGACGTGAATTTCCAGGTGTACTTGACGTGAATTTCCAGGTGTACTTGACGTGAATTTCCAGGTGTACTTGACGTGAATTTCCAGGTGTACTTGACGTGAATTTCATGGTGTACTTGACGAGAATTTCCAGGTGTACTTGACGTGAATTTCCAGGTGTACTTGACGTGAATTTCCAGGTGTACTTGACGTAAATTTCCAGGTGTACTTGACGTGAATTTCCAGGTGTACTTGACGTGAATTTCCAGGTGTACTTGACGTGAATTTCCAGGTGTACTTGACGTGAATTTCCAGGTGTACTTGACGTGAATTTCCAGGTGTACTTGACGTGAATTTCCAGGTGTACTTGACGTGAATTTCCAGGTGTACTTGACGTGAATTTCCAGGTGTACTTGACGTGAATTTCCAGGTGTACCTGACGTCAATTTTTTCTTATAATAATATACAAGTCACAGTTTTTGATCGTTGTTGTTGTTGTTAATTCTGTCTTCGTTCGTTTATTGTTTATTCTTACCATTATTAACTTTGCTGTTATCTTAACTTCCTTTTATTGTGCCTCTAAATGTGACAATTTATTTTTGTTTATGTATGATTTATTCTACTTAAACTCACACATTTTGATATATGTATATATATATATATATATATATATATATATATATATATATATATATATATATATATATATATATATATATATAATATATATATATATATACACATAAAGTTTCTATGGTCTGGGAAGCGATCAAGTTTGATGCTAGGAGACTGAAGATAGCTCCAAATCCTCGGAACAAGAGCTAATTTCCTTGGGTTGAATATTTCTTCCTGGCACATGTAGTCAGGCTTGAGGAGGTGGCCTCACTCTACCCGGCACGTGTAGTCAGGCTTGAGGAGGTGGCCTCAGTCTACCTGGCACGTGTAGACAGGCTTGAGGAGGTGGCCTCACTCTACCTGGCACGTGTAGTCAGGCTTGAGGAGGTGGCCTCACTCTACCTGGCACGTGTAGACAGGCTTGAGGAGGTGGCCTCACTCTACCTGGCACGTGTAGTCAGGCTTGAGGAGGTGGCCTCAGTCTTCCTGACACGTGTAGTCAGGCTTGAGGAGGTGGCCTCACTCTACCTGGCACGTGTAGTCAGGCTTGAGGAGGTGGCCTCACTCTACCTGGCACGTGTAGTCAGGCTTGAGGAGGTGGCCTCACTCTACCTGGCACGTGTAGTCAGGCTTGAGGAGGTGGCCGCAGTCTTCCTGGCACGTGTAGTCAGGCTTGAGGAGGTGGCCTCACTCTACCTGGCACGTGTAGTCAGGCTTGAGGAGGTGGCCTCACTCTACCTGGCACGTGTAGTCAGGCTTGAGGAGGTGGCCTCACTCTACCTGGCACGTGTAGTCAGGCTTGAGGAGGTGGCCGCAGTCTTCCTGGCACGTGTAGTCAGGCTTGAGGAGGTGGCCTCAGTCTACCTGACACGTGTAGTCAGGCTTGAGGAGGTGGCCTCAGTCTTCCTGACACGTGTAGTCAGGCTTGAGGAGGTGGCCTCACTCTACCTGGCACGTGTAGTCAGGCTTGAGGAAGTGGCCTCAGTCTACCTGGCACGTGTAGTCAGGCTTGAGGAGGTGGCCTCAGTCTTCCTGGCGCGTGTAGTCAGGCTTTAGGAGGTGGTCTCACTCTACCTGACACGTGTATTCAGGCTTGAGGAGGTGGCCTCAGTCTTCCTGACACGTATAGTCAGGCTTGAGGAGGTTGCCTCACTCTACCTGGCACGTGTAGTCAGGCTTGAGGAGGTGGCCTCACTCTACCTGACACGTGTATTCAGGCTTGAGGAGGTGGCCTCAGTCTTCCTGACACGTGTGGTCAGGCTTGAGGAGGTGGCCTCAGTCTACCTGACACGTGTAGTCAGGCTTGAGGATGTGGCCTCAGTCTTCCTGACACGTGTAGTCAGGCTTGATGAGGTGGCCTCAGTCTTCCTGACACGTGTAGTCAGGCTTGAGGAGGTGGCCTCACATCTGTCTGGCACGTGTAGCCAGGCTTGACGAGGTGGCCTCAGTCTTCCTGGCACGTGTAGTCAGGCTTGAGTAGGTGGCCTCAGTCTTCCTGACACGTGTAGTCAGGCTTGAGGAGGTGGCCTCACATCTGCCTGGCACGTGTAGTCAGGCTTGACGAGGTGGCCTCAGTCTTCCTGGCACATGTAGTCAGGCTTGAGGAGGTGGGCTCACATCTACCTGGCACTTGTAGTCAGGCTTGAGGAGGTGGCCTCAATGTACCTGGCACGTGTAGTCAGGCTTGAGGAGGTGGCCTCACATCTGCCTGGCACGTGTAGTCAGGCTTGAGGAGGTGGCCTCACTTTACCTGGCACGTGTAGTCAGGCTTGAGGAGGTGGCCTCAGTCTTCCTGGCACGTGTAGTCAGGCTTGAGGAGGTGGCCTCACTCTACCTGGCACGTGTAGTCAGGCTTGAGGAGGTGTCCTCACATCTGCCTGGCACATGTAGTCAGGCTTGAGGAGGTGGCCTCAGTCTTCCTGGCACGTGTAGTCAGGCTTGAGGAGGTGACCTCACATCTGCCTGGCACGTGTAGTCAGGCTTGAGGAGGTGGCCTCACTTTACCTGGCACGTGTAGTCAGGCTTGAGGAGGTGGCCTCAGTCTTCCTGGCACGTGTAGTCAGGCTTGAGGAGGTGGCCTCACTCTACCTGGCACGTGTAGTCAGGCTTGAGGAGGTGTCCTCACATCTGCCTGGCACATGTAGTCAGGCTTGAGGAGGTGGCCTCAGTCTCCTGGCACGTGTAGTCAGGCTTGAGAGGTGGCCTCACATCTGCCTGCACGTGTAGTCAGCTTGAGGAGGGGCCTCACTTTACCTGGCACGTGTAGTCAGGCTTGAGGAGGTGGCCTCACATCTGCCTGGCACATGTAGTCAGGCTTGAGGAGGTGGCCTCAGTCTTCCTGGCACGTGTAGTCAGGCTTGAGGAGGTGGCCTCAGTCTTCCTGGCACGTGTAGTCAGGCTTGAGGAGGTGGCCTCACTCTACCTGGCACGTGTAGTCAGGCTTGAGGAGGTGGCCTCAGTCTTCCTGGCACGTGTAGTCAGGCTTGAGGAGGTGGCCTCACATCTGCCTGGCACGTGTAGTCAGGCTTGAGGAGGTGGCCTCACTCTACCTGGCACGTGTAGTCAGCTTGAGGAGGTGGCCTCAGTCTTCCTGAACGTGTAGTCAGCTTGAGGAGGTGGCCTCACTCTACCTGGCACGTGTAGTCAGGCTTGAGGAGGTGGCCTCACTCTACCTGGCACGTGTAGTCAGGCTTGAGGAGGTGGCCTCACATCTGCCTGGCCATCATGCATTATTCATATATACAAAAGCGCTCTTAGCTTAATTGTGGCTATAAATTACAGTTGAGTGGTAAAATGGCGCAATAATTCATCTTATATCTCAAGTAAATATTTATTCCTGACACCAACACCTTTACGACTGGACGCCGGACAGAATCCAAAGTGCATTTTAAGAGAGGTGACATGGGAATGTAGTTTCCAGCCGCTAGAGACAGTTAAAGTGCGATTGAGTGAGCTTTTATTTACATTGTGATGCAGCGTCCACTCGCGCTGATTATGCGAAATTTGCGAGACTGAGAATGCTAAGTTTGCTTAGTATGCTCACTTAACTGGCCTCAACACGCATCCCATACCCTGCCACGTGATCTTTGGACTTTATTAATTATATTTTTTCCTGTTTTAATTTACCGCCTTCATCTGAGAATATATTCATTCTAGAATTTTGTGAACTTAGAAAAAATAAGCTCGGAATGATGAAATTCTTAGCTTGCTTATGAAAGATGTATTAAGTTAATGAGGAGATATAAATGAAGTCGTTGATGGGGGAGGTATGAGAGGCGGGAGCGCGACCAATGAGGAGTGTGCGTGGGTCGGTGGGCGGGGCTTGGGCTGCCTGGCCCCTGCCAACACTACATTCATTGTATTAGCCAAGTGGCTGCCGGAGGGGGACGGTTGCGCTCGCTCCACTCTGTGATTGCCCTCTTGCTCAGGGATAGCGCGATGATCAGTGCCATAGTGTGACGCAGAGGTTGGTGGCTTGTGTTAGCCAGTGTTGTGAGTGATGGTGTATTATAGTGTGAGAGTATGATAGTGACGAGGCAGCAGTGAAGCAACACGGGTCGCTGGGCCTCCTTCAGATGCTCAGATAACAGCGGCTCCAGCATGGCGGGCCCCACCAGCGCCCTCGTATGGACACTTGTGGGCGTGTGGGCGGCCTGTGCGTGGGCGGAGTACCCTGTGGTGCTGTCTGAGGATCACCCAGGAGGGCCGCTGAGGTGTGAGAACATTCTCATCCCCGCCTGCCGTGAGGTAGGCTACAACCTCACCTCCATGCCTAACTTAGTGGGCAACGAACTGCAGAAGGACGCAGAGTCGCGCCTCAACTCCTTCAAGCCGCTCATACAGTATGGGTGCTCGTCCCAGCTGCAGTTCTTCCTGTGCTCCATCTACACGCCCATGTGCACGCCCCAGGTACCCACGCCCATCGGACCTTGCAGGGACCTGTGCGAGACTGTTAAGAACCGGTGTTCCCCAGTAATGGCCGAACTGGGGTACCCGTGGCCACACTTCCTTAACTGCTCCAGGTTCCCGCCGGAGAACAACGAAGAGCACATGTGTATGGAGGGCCCCGGGGAGAAGATGCCGCCCCATTCCCCGCCCACCACTTCCCCACGCCCACAGCCGCCTCGCAGGTGTAGTCACTACGCTCACGCCCACAAGTACCGCTACATCAATGCCACGGGCACGTGTGCACCACTATGTCAGGCCAACATTTCCTTCAACACCAGCGACAAGTCTTTCGCGGTGGTGTGGATGACCATATGGGCGGTGGTATGCTTCGCCGTCACCCTCTTCACCGTGCTCTCCTTCCTGCTGGAGGCGGCAGCCTTCAGGTATCCTGAGCGTGCGGCGGTGCACCTTGCTCTCTGCTACAACCTGGTAGCCCTGGGCTACCTGGTGCGGCTAGTGGCGGGTCCTGGCAGGGTGACGTGCCACACTGACCCTGAGCTGGGTATGGTAGCAGTGACTGAGGGTGCCCTACACACCACCTGTGCCCTGGTATTCCTTCTCCTCTACTACTTTACCACCGCCGCCTCCGTCTGGTGAGTACCTGCCACACTAACCTACACAACATTATACTTACAGCGACAACAACCTGAAGAATAAGGCACATGGGTACCACCTGGGTAACTTGGTTACCCAAACTTATTTCTCCACTTATTACACCCCTGTCTTGTATTATGCTATTAGTTCCCGTATAATCTACCTTGTCCATTACTATCAAAATGGTATACAATACCGACAGGTTGGTAGGTAAGACACATAGGCAACAGTTAGGCAACTTTACCCCGAAACGTTTCGCCTACACAGACTTCTTCAGTCGAGTACAGGAAGTAGGCAGGAGCAGTAGAGATGTGAAGACGATGTCATCAGTCCATCACCCTTGAAGTCGTAGATTTAAGGTTGTTTCAGACTATGGAACAGAACTCTTCTTCAGGCTGAGGGACTGACAACTTCAAATCTACGACTTCAAGGGTGATGGACTGATTACATCGTCTTCACATCTCTACTGTTCCCTGCCTACTTTCTGTAACTCGACTGATGATGTCTGTGTATGGCGAAACGTGTTCAGAGTAAAAGGTTGCCTAACTGTTTGCCGTATGTGGTCTACCTACTACCGTTGTTCATAATTACTGTCGCATTTGAAGTTAGGATCTTTACTTAATTCAGGGTATAACTTAACAAATCTTTGAGGACAGCTGTGTTGCAGAGATCTGAGCGAAGCTGCAACACAAACGTCAAATATTTGTTAAGTTATACTATGAATTAAGGAAAGACAAAGCAAATGCGATAATAATTATGGACATAGGAGACACGGAAATTCAGGTACCTCATAAATGTCGCCTCAGTCCTGTACTGAAGAAGACTAGTGCCCAGGCCAGATGCCCAGGAAAAAAGATTTTTGGAAGACTTATTTTTGTCTTTACTGACCACCAGTCTGGCCCCTCGCACGCCTTTCTTACCAAGTTTGTTACTTCACCTGGAATTATGCTCCCATTCCTTGGAGCAAGCAAAACTGCCTCTCACTTTACCAGGTACTACGACTTACGGTTTAGCGAGTTCCTATGAATATATTAATGTTGAATAAGCAATATTTTGTACCCCGACTTTCAGCTGTTGCTGCTGTTTCTCAGTTACTGCTGTTTCTCAGTTGCTGCTGTTTCACCTCAGCTATACCCCCATCTTATTCCTCATCCTCATATCAGACATAGACAGAGGTACGCACCACAGCACCGTATCATGATGATACTAGGATCTGCATGAGGCTGTCATCTGCTGAGGACGCGGTTAACCTCCAAGAAGATATAAACAAAGTTTTCCAGTGGGCAACGGTAAACAATATGATGTTCAACGAGGACAAATTCCAACTACTCCGTTATGGAAAACTGGAGGAGATAATAACTAGAACAGAGTATACTACAGACTCTGGCCATACAATAGAGCGGAAAAATAATGTAAGGGACCTGGGAGTAGTAATGTCTAAGGATCTCACTTTCAAGGATCACAACAGTGCCACGATCGCAAGTGCAAAGAAAATGATAGGATAGATAATGAGAACGTTCAAAACGAGAGATGCCAAGCCCCATGATGATCCTTTTCAAATCACTTGTTTTCTCTAGACTGGAATACTGCTGTACATTAACATCTCCATTCAAAGCAGGTGAAATCGCAGATCTAGAGAGTGTACAGAGATCCTTTACTGCACGTGTAAGTTCTGTCAAGCACCTTAACTACTGGGAACGCTTGGAAGCACTTGACTTGTACTCGTTGGAACGCAGGAGGGAGAGATATATCATAATCTACACTTCGAAAATCCTGGAAGGAATGGTCCCAAATCTGCACACAGAAATCACTCCCTACGAAAGTAAAAGACTGGGCAGGCGATGCAAAATACCCCCAATTAAAAGTAGGGCCGCCATTGGTACACTAAGGGAAAACACCATAAGTGTCCGGGGCCCAAGACTGTTCAACAGCCTCCCATCAAGCATTAGGGGAATTACCAATAAACCCCTGGCTGCCTTCAAGAGAGAGCTGGACAGATACCTAAAGTCAGTGCCGGATCAGCCGGGCTGTGGCTCGTACGTAGGACTGCGTGCGGCCAGCAGTAACAGCCTAGTTGATCAGGCCGTGATCCATCGGGAGGCCTGGTCATGGACCGGGCCGCGGGGGCGTTGATCCCCGGAATAACCTCCAGGTAACCTCCAGGTAGCTCTTCCCGCAGTTTCTTCTCGGCTGTTGCTGCCTGTGTTTCCTCAGTTATTGCTACTTTTTCTCAGTTATTGCTGCCGTTTCTCAGTTGTTGCTAATCACTTGTTGCTGCCGTTTCTAATCAGTTGTTGCTGCCGTTTCTCAGTTGTTGCTGCCGTTTCTCAGTTGTTGCCGTTTCTCAGTTGTTGCTGCCGTTTCTCAGTTGTTGCTGCCGTTTCTCAGGTTTGTTGCTGCGTTTTCTCAGTTGTTGCTGCCGTTTCTCAGTTGTTGCTGCCGTTTCTCAGTTGTTGCTGCCGTTTCTCAGTTGTTGCTGCCGTTTCTCAGTTGTTGCCGTTTCTCAGTTGTTGCTGCCGTTTCTCAGTTGTTGCTGCCGTTTCTCAGTTGTTGGTGCTGTTTCTCAGTTGTTGCTGCCGTTTCTCAGTTGTTGCTGCCGTTTCTCAGTTGTTGCTGCCGTTTCTCAGTTGTTGGTGCCGTTTCTCAGTTGTTGCTGCCGTTTCTCAGTTGTTGCTGCCGTTTCTCAGTTGTTGCTGCGTTTCTCAGTTGTTGGTGCTGTTTCTCAGTAGTTGCTGCCGTTTCTCAGTTGTTGCTGCCGTTTCTCTGTTGTTGCTGCTGTTTCTAATCAGTTGTTTCTGCCGTTTCTCAGTTGTTGCTACCGTTTCTCTGTTGTTGCTGCCGTTTGTAATCAGTTGTTGCTGCCGTTTGTAATCAGTTGTTGCTGCCGTTTCTAATCAGTTGTTGCTACCGTTTCTCTGTTGTTGCTGCGTTTTATCATTGTTGCTGCCTGTTTGCATCACTTGTTGCTTCCGTTTCTCAGTTGTTTCTGCCGTTTCTCATTGTTGCTGCTGCTGCCGTTTCTCAGTTGTTTTCTGCGTTCATCAGATGTTGCTGCCGTTTATCAGTTGTTGCTGCCGTTTCTCATTTGTTGCTGCCGTTTATCAGTTGTTGCTGCCGTTTCTCAGTTGTTGCTGCCGTTTCTCATTGTTGCTGCTGTTTTTCAGTTTGTGCCGTTTCTCAGTTGTTGCTCCCGTTTCTAATCAGTTGTTCTGCCGTTTTTCAGTTGTTGCTGCCGTTTCTCAGTTGCTGCCGTTTCTCAGTTGTTGCTGCCGTTTCTCAGTTGTTGCTGCCGTTTCTCAGTTGTTGTGCCGTTTCTCAGTTGTTGCTGCCGTTTCTCAGTTGTTGCGTGCCGTTTCTCTGTTGCTGCTGCCGTTTGTGTTATCAGTTGTTGCTGCCGTTTCTCAGTTGTTGCTGCCGTTTCTCAGTTGTTGCTGCCGTTTCTCAGTTGTTGCTGCCGTTTCTCTGTTGCTGCTGCCGTTTGTAATCAGTTGTTGCTGCCGTTTCTCAGTTGTTGCTGCCGTTTCTCAGTTGTTGCTGCCGTTTCTCAGTTGTTGCTGCCGTTTCTCAGTTGTTGCTGCCGTTTCTCTGTTGCTGCTGCCGTTTGTAATCAGTTGTTGCTGCCGTTTCTCAGTTGTTGATGCCGTTTCTCAGTTGATTGCCCTTGGCCGTTTCTCTAGTTGTTGCTGCTGTTTCTCAGTTGTTGGTGCCGTTTCTCAGTTGTTGCTGCCGTTTCTCAGTTGTTGCTGCCGTTTCTCTGTTGCTGCCGTTTGTTCAGTTGTTGCTGCGTTTCTCAGTTGTTGCTGCGTTTCTCAGTTGTTGCTGCCGTTTCTCAGTTGTTGCTGCCGTTTTCTTTCTGTGTTGCTGCTGTTTCTCAGTTGTTGCTGCTGTTTCTCAGTTGTTGATGTCGTTTCTCAGTTGTTGTTGCCGTTTGTCCTTCTCAGTTTTTTGCTGCTGTTTCTCAGTTGTTGCTGCCCGTTTCTCAGTTTTTGCTGCCGTTTTCTCAGTTGTTGCTGCCGTTTCTCATTGTTGCTGCTGTTTCTCAGTTGTTGCTGCCGTTTTCTCAGTTGCTTTCTGCCGTTTAATCAGTTGTTGTGCTGGTTTCTCAGTTGTTGCTGCCGTTTCTCAGTTGTTGGTGCCGTTTCTCAGTTGTTGCTGTTGTTTCTCAGTTGTTGCTGCCGTTGTCTCAGTTGTTGCTGCCGTTTCTCAGTTGTTGCTGCCGTTTCTCAGTTGTTGCTGCTGTTTCTCAGTTGTTGCTGCTGTTTCTCAGTTGTTGCTGCTGTTTCTCAGTTGTTGATGCTGTTTCTCAGTTGTTGCTGCTGTTTCTCAGTTGCTGCTGCCGTTTATCAGTTGTTGCTGCCGTTTCTCAGTTGTTGCTGCGTTTCTCTTGTTGCTGCTGGTTTTATCAGTTGTTGATGCGTTTCTCTGTTGCTGCAGTGCCTGCTTTTAATCAGTTGTTGCTGCTGTTTCTCAGTTGTTGCTGCGTTTCTCTGTTGCTGCTGTTTCTCAGTTTTTTGCTGCCCGTTTCTCAGTTGTTGCTGCCGTTTCTCAGTTGTTGCTGCCGTTTGTACAGTTGTTGCTGCTGTTTCTCAGTTGTTGCTGCTGTTTCTCAGTTGTTGCTGCCGTTTCTCAGTTGTTGCTGCCGTTTCTCAGTTGTTGCTGCCGTTTCTCAGTTGTTGCCGTTTCTCAGTTGTTGCTGCTGTTTCTCAGTTGTTGCTGCCGTTTCTCAGTTGTTGCTGCCGTTTCTCAGTTGTGCTGCTGTTTCTCAGTTGTTGCTGCCGTTTTCTCAGTTGTTGCTGCTGTTTCTCAGTTTTTTGCTGCCGTTTCTCAGTTGTTGTGCCGTTTCTCAGTTGTTGCTGCTGTTTCTCAGTTGTTGATGCTGTTTCTCAGTTGTTGCTGCTGTTTCTCAGTTGTTGCTGCTGTTTCTCAGTTGTTGCTGCCGTTTCTCAGTTGTTGCTGCCGTTTCTCAGTTGTTGCTGCCGTTTCTCAGTTGTTGCTGCTG